AGACGGTCTTCCACGGCTCCTCTTTGCAGAGTTTTTTTTTTTCAGAAAGGAAGTGAAGTAGATACCAATATAAAACTTACCATGGTCAGTATTGTTGAGTCTCAATGAGTTTATGGATTTGTTTTCTATCAATTGTTCTTAGGAAATTTATAAGTTCTATTTTGAATTGTTTTAACACCGTTATTGTTTTCAAGATTCCCGGAATGAAATTGTAAATTTTGGGAGCTAAGTAATGATAACCTTTTTGTCCTATTGCTTTATTCATTCGTGGAACGATGTACTTATTTTTTTGTCTTGTAGAATGGGAGTGAGTCGTCACATTCGTTTCGATTCCATTAATGTGATGTCTAATACATACTTGTTTGAGATAAAGCTGTCTAATATCTAGCATTTTTGTTTCTGAGTAGAGAGAGTCACTTGAGTATCTTGGTCCTTTATCACAAATCATTCGGAGAAATTTTCTTTGAGACACTTCAAGTATATTAAGGTAAGTTCGCGAAGCTCTTTTTGCAACCTCTTCAATATCGTCTAGAATACACAATTCCTCACTATTGTTCTTCATTTTTCAAGACATTAAATACCAGCAAGAACTTTAAATGTGACTTTAAACAAAATGCGTGAGCTGTAAACAATAATGTTTGTTGGTAACCAGGTGATTCCGCGTCACCTGACACGGCCACTTCACAGCAAATGAAAACAGGACAGTTGTACAAAAAACTTTGTATAATAATTTGTGTCAAAGATTTCATTTTGTGAAATTGTTCAACTGGCTAGGCTAGTTTCGCTGTGATTACGAAATGATATTGAAGGTGGCCATGAGAATCATTCGTTTTCAGCTTGTATAAAATACATATGCCAAAAAAAACAGAAATTTGTTAAATTTAGGGCTCGAATATGAGGTTTTCAAGAATCGTGGCATACTACGGACGTAATTATTCCAGGGAAGCTGAATGTAGGTAATGAACCCTTTGATACACCAGGAATATCAGGATTGAGAGATAGTTTGCAATAAACTTGTATAAAACTTCATTTTGGCAGCCTAAAACTTTCCCTAATTTGACTAATATTCCTTTACCTCATTTTACTAATATTCCTGGACTATAACATTTTGAAGAAATTCAATTCAGCAGCTCGATTGCAATATGTTTTTCCTATTACAACAATATGAGTTGGCTCTACAGAGTAGTGAGTATTTTTTCAATTATATTTTTCAAATTCAAATCCGAAATTACGAGTTTGAAATCAAAATATTGATTTTAATCACGAAACTTCAAATTCAAATCTTGACTTTAAACTCACAGTTTCTAAAAATATAACAATGATAACTTCCTAATCTGTAAAGTCCATTTCGAGCTGATTTTCATGTTGTTGTATACAATAATCCAAACAGATTGTGATTCCGTTGAAGAAGAACAATTAATCGTAAATAAGCATGACAATTCCTCGAAGAAATGTACAGTTCCTTGTTTGAGGATGAATTTTATAGCAACCCAATTTTTGTAAAGCATCCAGAAACAACGAAAATCTAGTATTTCTCAAAAATATCGATATTTCATTAATATTTCCTGGATCCTTCCACAACACTACTGCGGAGTTTACGATATTTTCATCGCAAACACTCATTATAAAGTCTTTGCGAGGGTTACAAAAGTGGCAAAAAGTACTTTACGAGGCTGGGTATTCAAAATTCTAATTTTAAACTCTTCTGGAGCACCTGCGTTCAAACTTAAACAAGTTTATTACCGAATAAGCGTTTGAATTTTCCAGAAACTTTGGCTTGAAGCAGAAACTGCATCTTTCTCATAATTAATTGATGTATAAGTTAGTATCAAGAATATGACTCACGACAGATAAATTTAATTTCATTGGCTGGCTTTTATCAAATATGAACAGATTATAAATACTCCGACCTGTCACTTGTTGAAAAGCTTTAACACCATCCACGATAATATTTATAGAATTTTGACAATGAATTTTATTCACAAAGCGTTTCGCAACACGGTAGCTTCATCAGTTACTGGTATATTTCAAGTAAACGATATAGTGCAACCTACTTCCAACAGCCTGTCTTCAATTATATAGTTTGGGGGCTAACTAATTTCGTTATTCAATATTCATTTCTGATTATATAAGAATCACAATAACTATATAATATATATNGCGCCCGACTCACGATCGGAAGACCGTGGGTTCGATTCCCGCCTCGACCAGATATTTTTCTCGAGAGAATTTATCTGGTTGAAGCTGGAATGATTCTGTAACCGTGTTAGGAATCACACGTTGAAAGGTAAGGACCTCGTTAGTCCTTAGCTCGCACAAGTTCTCAAATTTTGAGAGATGTCGTTTGTATGGGGGCGACAGCTGATTAATGGCAAAACAGATTTTAAACAGATTCAAATATCAAATCAATCTGTCAAAAGGAAGGGGTCAAACTTCGATTACTAAATTTGACCCAAACAAAAAATAACAAAGAGGGCAAGCTAAATAAAAGCGTTTAAAAAACTATAGAATCTTTTACTCTGCAAAATTGACTATTTTAGAGTTCAATGATACACAGAAATCGATTCTAACGTTTTTGATTCCAGAGATATACTTACATTCAAATCCGATAAATTTCGAATTACAATTTTGTCTATATTGCCTTTATTTTTATTTTTTTAAGGACAAAACACAAGCACTACAGGAAAATCCTCATGGCGCTTTAAGAGCCAACCTCAACTTCATCATTTCAAATAAGGTGCTACATTTTTATAGCAATTGTTTAAAAGCTAATGTTCATTCATTGTTGAGAAATTTTTTGGCGATTCAACTGAAAGTTTCGGTCATTTGATTAAATTTAAAAAAAATCTGAAACTTTGCATTATATATTTCTAATTCACGTGTGATAATCAGTACTTTTTCATTCAAAAAATATAATTTTTGAACCTTCCATGATATAGTTGTTATTCCATTCTTTTCAATTTATGTTTATTTTAATTATATTTTCATTTTTATGTTAAAGTGCGCATTAATAAATGCAACCACTACCGCCAGCCAGGTAGCCCGGGCTCTAACCGAAAGAGCAAGAGAGACAGCATATCAAAAAACCAACTATTCTAAAATTCTTGTTTTCCAATCGTTGCTAGCTCCCGTACTATTTCACGTACAGTTGAGAAAGGAATTTCGGTCAAATCTGATGTTGCTTGTAATAGTTTGTTTCCCTCGAAACCAAACATGAAATGTAGATTCTTATATACATTGAAACATACTCTCTGAGTTTCAATATTCAAATGCATCTGAATATTATTCACTAGTATCTCTTTTTCGCATTGTTCACCATCGCTATTGGAATCACTACACTGGAAAATGTCTGCGTTGTTATCACACTCGTTATTACAAGGACGCCACATTTCAAACAGATAAAAATATCAAGTAAATGTAACTGCACCAATATCGATTTTCATCACTCAAATCGCGATCAGTTCCTGAACTGAACACAACGGCAATAACCATCCCCGCATTATCCGATTTCTATTCGTCACCGTGACATGACTTCGAATTCAATTTTATGACTCCTCAGCCAGTCATAAAACACGGTTAGTACCTAAACATTACCCAATACGAACCGCCAAGTCTACAGTATTGGTTTTTTGGGCCTTTGAGAGTGCTGTTAACTTTAAGAGTGCACAATGTTGTTTACTTCGACTATACAGCAAACTATTTTACAATATCATTTATATAATAGTAGGTAATAACAAAACGTAATAATAATAATAATAATTGGCTTTATTCATCAACATAATATTATACAAAAACTAAAATAAAGATGAAAGGGGAAGTTCAGCTTAAGCTGTTTTTCAACTTAACCTAGATAAATTTACCAGATTCAATCATTTAATAATTATAACAATCTTCAATGATATTTTGTGAGACTGATAATTTTTGACATAAGATATTCTTCATACAATACCTATTTTGTCAGGTTTTGCAAACAAAACTTTTTGATATGACACAATGAGAATTTGTTTGGAAAAACAAATTAATATGTACCTTTGTAATGATGAAAATGTAAGTACTAGTAGCAATTCAGAGAAAATGTCAAGAAATGCAAGTGGCCTAGCTTCTATTTCCTTCGTCATTATTTATGTGGACAACTTCAATTTCCTCAGAGATTGGGCCGATTCTCCATAACAATTTTATGTACTTTATCAACATTTTCATTGGTAGTTGATGGGCTGGGGCGTTCAGAGAGAGCTTCATCATTCCCATCTTCTCCACCTTCTGTGAAGAGCTTGAACCACTTGTCCATTTTACAATTTTCTGACTCAGAGTACGATCAACGTATGCCACTGTCAACATTTCTAGTGTTCTTGAGCACTTCAATTAATTTTTTACACATTATGCCTCTCACCAGCAAACACAACATGCTAAACAGCTGAAACCGAGTGATAAAAAATTCGCTAATCGAATTTACGTAGACCTCGATTTTGTGCCATGCCGAATAAAACCATTGGGATACATGTATTCGGGAGAAACGGTTACCGTAGAAACCAAAACAAAGTCATCGATAATATATGACAGTATTCTTCAAACCTTCGAGAATTAGTGGTGCAGGAAAATCAAAATGAGTGAATCACTGAGACAAATTGAAAAAGCGGATTCAAAAACCCAATACAAATTATCCCTCAACGATAGTGTGGATCCCAGTTACTCGAATCTAGTGCTACCTTAGTAAGTACATAATATACAAATACAGTTCTAGCCAAAATGTGTTATTATTTTTCTGGTGGATGCTACTAATATTCTATTTGGGTATACCATTTTTCATTTTAGGCTTCATGAATAGAAAAATTGTAATACTCATATGGACTAAATTTGACTTTAAATAAAATGCGTGAGCTGTAAACAATAATGTTTGTTGGTAACCAGGTGATTCCGCGTCACCTGACACGGCCACTTCACAGCANTGCGATACATACCGTTTTTCAGTTCCCATGTGTTTCGTATCTTACCTGACTGAATGCGTCCTTGTTCAACAATGTTGCAGCGTCTTCAAACTTTCTCTTGAACTAGTGTTTCTAACTGTGATAGATTTCAGCATCGGATCACTTGATGTTATGTTGGTGGATCCAAATACGCTTTGCTGTTCTCAGTTTACTGATTCTTTTCCCCTGGGTGTTTTTCTTGTATTCAGAGCATGGTATGCTCTGAAAACCAAAACCTTAACTATAGTATGCCGTTACTTGAGGTCGTTTTTTTACATATTCGACTCATTTATGCCAATTTGATCGATTATAAACATATTTCTTCATGGGATTGTTCAATAATTCTGAGATGCATACGGGGGTCAAGTGCAAAGATCAACTGACTAAAATATGAGGAGATAAAATTCAGTGTTTATGTTTGATGAATATGCTAAAATGCATGTTTCAGTTACAGAATCAAGGGGGGGGTTTTAAGGGGTCCATTTGCGATAATGTTATTGAAAATGATTGGATATGAGAAAGAAATCGTGTCAAATTTGAACAATTTCAAATAGCAGGAGATATGCATAGATGTATTTATTTATTCATTTATTTATGGCATTACCTATTTTCACAAAATAGTTTACAAATTCACACATATGTACCATAACTATCAGCTAGATGAAAGGAAAAAAATATAAAAACAGTCAACAATAAGCCAGTCAATTATAATCTTTTTACCGTCTTTTTTAATGACTCCAAAAAAGAATTTAAAAGTTCTAAATCCACATTGTGGATTTAGAACTTTTAAATTCACAGGTAAATTCACACAAACACAGGTGTTTGCAAGTCTCTAAATTCTACCTATAGACTCATTCTGGCCATAGTTGATATGATAAAAAGGTACCTACTTTAAGATTTCTGTATTTCTTGGTTTCTTTGGATTCACATTTCAATTTATAAGTTCAACAATGTAAGATTTAATTTTATTCTTTTATGAGAGAATTTTCTTGAAGGACAAAGCACAAGCACTACAGGAAAATCCTTAAGGCGCTCTTAAAGTGGTGCCTGTGCGAAAGTAGTGATTCACATTGGATTTGAACCGCTGGAGAATAAATCCATTTGGAAAAACGATCTCAGGAAGTTTATTCCACATAAACGCCATTCTTCAAATGAAACATTTCTTCAGCAGTGAAGTTCGAGGTGTACTGAGTTGAACCTCATAACGATTAGCAGCCACAGTCCGTCGCGTATTTCTCTTGGTGGAATCAAATGTGCCAAGTCACTTGAACACTTCCCGTGAAAGTATCTATAGAAAAGAGATAAATCTCCAACCTTTCTTCGATGTTCCAGACTCAAGTGATGTTCTCGTCTCCAATCAGGCGGATGGCTCTGTTCTGGATGGAATCCAGCAGCTTCAGGGTATGTTTGGGGGCGGAGCTCCATACATGAGAACAATACTCCAAAGAAGGTCTGATCTGAGCTTTATAAAACATCAAAAAGTTGCTGAGGTGTGTACAGTTTTCTGGTTCGGAACAGTGTTACAAGCTTTTGAGACGCAGCGTTTGCAATTCCAGCGACATGATTGTGCCAAGACATATTTGTGTCAATTTTGACCCCCAACAAACTTATCAAAGCAGAAAGCGTAATTATCTGACCTGACATTATTACATTCGGTTCGGAGACATTTATCTTCTTGGAGAAAGTCGAAGCTTGGGTTTTTGTGGTATTGAATTAAACCTGGTTACATTCACGCCAATTCGAAATTACTTCTAGAACAGAATATTCAAGTTTAGAATGTACAATATTATTTTATAGTTATATTCACCATAATGTTATCACAGTTTATATGCAAAGTACCTTAAAAAATTATTTTGAACACTTTCAAGAATATCATTATCCACATCATATGAGGGGCACCAAATTGTGGAGTTTTTTCATTCAGTATAAACGGGAAAACTTTAAGGTACAACATTGTAAAATATACATATATAAAAAAATACTTCCACTACAACAGTTACCTTTGGTNCGCGCTCGAGTATGTCCATGCAACAGTATTTTTTTACATATTTAAAAATCTATAGCCGCTTCCCCCACCGATGAAAAGGTATATATTATATAACATGTTTTTCTTCTTATCATCTAAGCTTTGCAATCTAATATGTCTCAATGACGCTCGAGTAAATCCCCATTTTGCATCGTGGGCTCTCCTGCTATTATAACACCAGCACTAAAAATTAACAAACATACAAGGTATACTACACCTATCGACTAAATATATAATTTACTGCATACTTTTTGAAGACCTCCAAGGAGTTAGTAAAAAAATCAAATTTTGATTCGCCAGCTCCCCTCAACATTCTTGACATTGGACTATTAAATCCATAATTGACAGAATGTGACTTCTCAAAGAAAACAGCTCTATCGTCCCTTGTCACTCTTTGCTTGACTCTCAGGCCAACCAGAAAGAGAAGTTCTGGGCAATTGATTTGGCCTGACAATAATTTAAAATAAAATATTGAGTCAGCCTCAATCCGCCTGTTTTCCAATGTGGTTAGATCTAGGGTAGAAAGAATACCAGTGCAGTTATGTCGCAGGTCCATTTGAACGGCCATTGTGTAGGTAGCACTACGCAAACATTTATTTTGGACCTTTTCCAGTGACTTTAGTATACACTGAGTAAGAAGGACACCACATAGTGGATGTTTACTCTGAATGTGGCTTGAAAAATGAACAATACAGAATTTTCAATGTGCTTGCCGATAAGTCTGAAGCAAACTCCCTACATAACCAAGAAGTTTAAGTGATTTCAAAGTTATTTTATCAATATGGAATCAGAATGACAATTTTCATTAAATATAACACCAAGACCTTCAGCTTCATCAACTTGGTTCAAGGGCAAAGAGTTTATGCAGTATTCTTAAGTGTTTATTGATCTAACAACGGAACAATATATGATTTTTAAGTGGGTAAAACAAAATATTCATTTCTTTTAGTTTTCATGATGCTGGGAAACACCCAAACACATATATTTCCATTTCTTCCATATTATTTTCATTGTTTTCAGTCGCGTGGTATGTCGCCAGAGATACCGAAGAGCTGGTGTTAAACAAAGGGCACAATTCATAAAAGAAATCAAGGATCATGAACTTCTACAAACGAAAGCCTTGGACGGCGTGAGAATCCACAGAGAGTTTTGTAATGCCATTATACGTCCTCCACACCCTGACGAAATTATTAGGCTTACCGAATCGCAGAAAATGAAAATAGAGGAAATCCTTGCCAGACCGTTTTGATTGTCTTGGATTCGAGCTGAAGTTTATGGAATTAATTCAATAAAATTATGGAAATAAAGACAATTTACATACCAAATGAATTTAATTCCTTCTCATCTGACGAGAGATTGAGTTGTATGAACGATGCAAATGCTTCTAACAAATGGAACGTCAAAACATTTCTCAACATTACTTCAGTAGTATTTACACAAACTTGGCTGTTCAGAATGGTTTGAATGAAAAGTAATGATAATAATGATGAAATCAGTGAAAAAAAATGTTTGTGCTGACCGGTTTATTAGAAAATTCACTAAAATTCACCACTCTCCTGAGCAATATCGTAGATTGATGAGAGAGGTATAATGACTCCTATTTAGGACCTTCCGAATTATTTTTCAGTTTTCAGTACATTTTTCAATAAAATCTTTTTACTCATTTTATTTTCAAGTTTTCAGTAACTAATTTTCATTCACCCTAATGCCACATAGTTCTCGGCACGTTTTAACCTTTTATCTTAACTTCGATGGTGAATGGCGCCACACAGTCCTCGACACGATACAAAATCCTGACTTTGGTGGGAGATCCATGCTTGTATCCCGATTCTGAGTTGACAAAGTTCTTTGTATAGATTATCTTGGATTTGCATTTGCAGTCAAGCCCTGTCATTTGATACCCTTATTGAGGTAGTTGTGAAATAATATGTAATCCGCCATTTTGTAGCTGCGGCCATCTTGATTTTGCATATTTTTCAAAGTGTGTCACTCTTCTACTAGTTGAGCCCTGTCATTTGATACGCATATTAAACAATATGTAATCCGCCATTTTGTAGTTGCGGCCATCTTGAATTTGCATCTTTTTCAAAGTGTACTACTATTCTACTAGTCAAGCCCTGTCATTTGATACCCATATTGAGGCCATTTTGGATTTACAATGATACAGAATTTATTAAATTTTATCGTCATCTAAACTAAATGTGTGTACCGAATATCAGATCAATCTGTACTATAGTACTGACTAGTAATATAGTAGTACACTATGAATAAAACTAATTGGACTTTTTAGTATAATTGCTTTCAGTAATTTTGTTGACGTGTTGGAGATTGAGGACGTGTAGTTTGGTCAATAGGGGAAGGTGAGGGAGTCACGGACGCGGGGTAATCGTGGACGTGAAGTAATGACGCGCTCGTTTCACTANTACTGTTCCACCAAACCAAACCCGCCCCGCCCAATATATAAGTATATTGGATTTGCTTTTTTTTATAGTGTATTACTATAGTACTAGTCAAGCGTTGTCATTTGATACCTATATTGAGGTACTACTCCTCACGATTTGATCTCCACAAACTTTATTTGAAAAATATATCACAACATATTTCGCTAGTGAAACATGTTGTGATATATTTGTGTAGTTTTTTGAAATTATATTGAGGTAGTTGTACAATATTATGTAATCCGCCATTGTCTAGCAGCAGCCATCTTGGATTTACAATGATACAGAATTTATTGAATTGCGTTGTCATGAAAACTAAATGTGTGTTGTGGAATTGGCCGCGGTGGTAGTGCGCCTGACTCACGATCGGAAGACCGTGGGTTCGATTCCCGCCTCGACCAGATGCATTCTCTGGCACACCATAACCATTTTTTTCAAATAAAGAACCAACTTAAGCTGTTTTCAGTGAATTTTTCAAATGGAACAACCTTTAGGAATACAAAAAACTTGATATTTCATGTTCCAACCTAATTTCGGCATTGCTCAATGAATTCTATAGGCTATAATATCTTCTTGCAAAAGTTAATTATGAAACAGTGCTCAACATAAATCAGCTGATGTAGAACTCATCTTGTCAATAAATTCACCAGTATCTTTCCTAATTTAAAACTCATGCAGAGATCCTTTTCCATATAAACAAGATACAACCAAAAATAAAAATAGGAATTTTCGTTTTTTTTTTCTTTCGTTTATGTTCGGAAACTTCAAAACAAATAGAGAGCCAAAACCTTCCTTTTCCAAAAAATAATACCTCATAAACATGTACTTCTGCCAATTTAAATTTTTTCCTTTATTATTAGCGGCATCCACTGTTGATGGTTATTAGAATCGATATTGTTAGTCAGATATAATATTGTAACGAATCTGAAGCCGCCCCTGACCAATATGACGGCCGACTCAGCGAACAAACACATGACATTACCGCGAAAGAATGCAATCGCCAATAAAACTCCAGTCTCCGAACCGACTACAGATTTGTAGAAAGGACTTTTACATTATATAAGCCCGGCTTCTCGACCCAAGAGGGAACACTTACACATTACACTTACTTCGCGTAGGGGTGAACCGTGATCAACAACCCAAGAGGGCAGTTCAGAAAGTGAATGGAGCGGCTAAACAAGAAATTCAAATAGTGGAAATAAATTAAGCGTTAGGTGTGGAGTTGGTGTTAGGTGTGAGTGTTGTAAATAAATTATTAGTTTGTGATTAGTGAAATATTGTTGGAAATAAATTTGTTTAAGACAGTTAATTCATTAATTTGTTACAATTGGTGATCAGAAGTGGATTTGTAAAATAAATCTGTGAGCGCTTGGTGGACAATCTTTGCATTGCGGTGAAATTGACTTTTAAGGTGCGTATTCACCAAAAAAGTGAACACGAGCGAGCACAAGCGAGCATTCGTGTATGTTTGCTCGTGTTCGCTCATGTTCACTCGTGTTTGCTCGACATATTGATGTCTCGTCCACACCAAAGCGAATATATTCAAGTTCGCAGTCGTAGTTGATCCAACTACTTTGTGCGAGCAGTACGTGCGTAGTAAATATGTCTTAAGGTGCGTATTCACCAAAAAAAGCGAGCACGAGCGAAAAAGAGCGAATAAGAGTGAACGAGCATTCTGCATCAATAATCGTCTGGTGAGTACGGTCTGGCGAGCGAGCGAACGTATGCTTGTTCGCGTTCAGAAAAGATCGAGAAGAAGGCGGTACTACGAAGTTGAAGATATTCGCTCTGGTGTGGACGAGATATCAATATGTCGAGCAAACACAAGCGAACACGAACAAACATACACGAATGCTCGCTCATGCTCGCTCGTGCTCGCTTTTTTGGTGAATACGCACCTTTGTGCGTACCGGACTACGGAAACATAAATAGATAGACCTTTTTCGCGAAAAATAGACTTGTGAAAGTAAATAAGTGTTTTCGGACTCGATTAAAATAAGTGGACATACATAGTTTTTTGGAAAATAGACAATAAGACAATAAGTGGACTTGAAAGTCGCCGAATTGAAGAAAGAATTGGAGGAGAGGAAGCTGGATTGTTCTGGAAAGAAATCAGTACTCCAGAAGAGACGGAGGGATAACTTTGACTGAATCAGGAGAATATCCCGAAACATATTTATTCGAAATTTCTGGGAGTTTAAGACAATTAATTCATTAATTTGTTACAATACAAATCCCCCATAACTGCACATACACAATTCCTCGTTGAAATGTCAACTCCTCGTATAAATTGTCAGATATTTTGATATTTTGTATATTAAATTCTGATAAAATGTCATTTACGGAGTTGAAATATTAGTATCTGTCAAATATGTTTTCCAACTCATTTCAGAGTGGATTTATTTCCATATTCTACAGTGTTGGAAGTAATCCTTTGTCTTTATGGGATAAACAAGTAAGTACTTTCTAGACAAATAGCTTCGTAAATTTTGATTGTGTGCGTAGACATATGGATTCGAAAATAAGTTGTTATATCGAAAACTTGATGAAATATAAGATGGAAATCATGAAATGTTCAAATTATCGTTTAAAATTCCTGAAAGGGAGCATCCAATCACTTCTTATGAATTAGAAACCATCACAATGGATGAAAGTGCATCGAAAAAATCACCGGAAGAAAAATTTCACCCAAGATTCGAGGTATGTTCAAAAAATAAGGTGATTGTTCAAATTTTGCGGACTATGTACATTCGATTAGCGATTTTTTTGTGTAGGTATCTGTATCTTTAGAGTAGGGAGGTTGAGTGTAGGCCCACAGCACTTAAGCCACATGTGATCCATTGTACATCCTCCCAAGGAGTTGTCCTCCCAGGTCATCGTCCGTTCTGTCCTTTCCAGGAAGGTGGACAGGTCTCTTGGGAGACATCTCCTTTATATCGGCAGGTGTAGGCCAAGACTCGCCGAACACACACTCTCTTATTGACGATAACTCCGAAAATTCGCATAGGACATGCCTGACAGTTTCATCTTACTGTTCACACATCCTGCATAGGGGTGTGAACAGTAAATGCCCCATATCATGGAGGCATTTCCTTTGTTGACGGTGGTCAGTCAGAAATCCTACTGTTAAGCGTAGATTTTTCCTGGTCATCGCCAGATATTTCTTCGGCGCCAGCTTACCAGGGCCGGCCAGGGAGATACGCAACCTTCTTAAACAGGTCCTTTGATTTCATCCCATCTCTTTAGGGATTGAGAAGTTTAAATAATGTTCAGTAAAACATATATAAAACGATAGTTTCAATATTATTTTGTATGGGTTGAACTCCAGTAGTAGTTTTTGTTAATTTCGTTTTATCACACGTTAAAAGGTAAGACCTCATTAGTCCTTGGCTCGCACAAGTTTCTCAACTTCTGATAGTTGTCGTTCATATGAAGGAGACAGCTAATTAACGGAAAAACATATTTTCAAACATATATATTTCAATAATTGTTAATCCGGTCATTCCGCCGACTTTATTCATCAATAAAGTTGGTTTGTGAAAACTGCATATGTTATTTCCTTCCCTCAAACCCCTAAAAGACCACGCATTTACGCCGTAGCCGAATCCAGTCTCTGAGGATATAATTGGTGCATAACCAAGCCGTTGCTCTTCGAAGATTAGAAGGTAAAAAATTCGACTATTGACCAAGTCGCCTACTAATTCTCAATACGTGTGATCAGGACGAATTTCAAAACTTTTTCTGATCTGGTGGCAGCAACTCTCGCGCTACCAAACTAAATTAAAACATGAATACACCAATAATAGGGCATTTCAATTATTAACCAAACATCATTTGTTGTTGATTGTAAATTACTTTTGCAATTTTTACGAGCTGCACTTGAATTATTTCAAAAGCCATCTACACGATATTCGAATTCGAAAGACACCTTGTTCATATTTTTTGGAAACGGAGGGAAAGTTTGACTTGCAAGGCACTTGTTGACCAGAGTATGAAAGTATATTACAAGATTACTCCCTCTACCAAGAAAAACAGGTAACATGTACAATTCACGAAATCATTGAAATCCCCACTATATTCAATCGAGAGCTTCAGGTAGAAAACAATTATACAATATAGGTAATGGTTCAACTAGCTATAAACACTATAAAAGGTCGTTTTGCTTACAAATCAAAACAGTTTGGTGTGAAAGTGTTAGCTAATCGTTGGAGTGTCAACAATTTTCTCTGGAATTGGAAAGGATTCGTCTATTCTTGGTACTGGAACCAATTTGCTGTGAAAGTTCAAAGTAGAATTCAGTATTCGAACCGTTCAAAAGATGGAAAAGAAAGTGAAATGCTTTTTCGAACAATTCGACAGGAGGTATGTTGGGACACCTTCATCATTTCAGAAAATGAACAGATATAATGATTGTGATAGAGTTTAACTTTAGTGAAGTTGAAGAAGAAGTAAAGTACTCCATTGAAAAATTTATAGAACTGGATACCTCGATCGGTTCAACTTCATTCAAGACTTCGACATCAGACAGTGCAGAGAAGCGGGATGGTGATGAAGAAGATGACGTTCTAGCTGTTTCCGGAGTTGACGATAGACTATTATGTTTTTCCCGTGGATTGAATCTAGCACCAGTACGTACCCAGCATAAACTGATAGTACGAAATCTGTCTTTCGCCGTCAGCTGGCAAGATCTGAAGGATTATATGCGAAATGCCGGTAGAGTTACTTTCGGACAGGCTCACACACCATATCGCAATATCGGAACTGTCGAATTCGCTAGTCATTCAGACATGGAAGCCGCTTTTAGACAACTGAATCATACTGTGTTGAAGGGTCAACGAATTCGCCTCGAAAAAGCCAGGATTGATTCGATTTGGAAAAAAAAACATTTTTACAATTGTGCATCTTCTTTGCCGTTCCAGAGTAAGAGATTTTCTAAGCCAACTCGGTCCAATCATTCCTGTTGGGCGCCGATCCGTACCCCTTATAGATTGCTCATTTCAAATGTATCTGATCGCGTCAGTTGGCAAGATCTCAAAGATCACATGCGTAATTCTGGAAACGTTACATTTGCAGAGGCACATAATTTACATCGCAACATGGGAGTCGTAGATTTCGCTTCAAAATCTGACTTACAAGCCGCTTACAGACAATTGAACGGTACTTTATTGAAGGGTAGACGCATTTGTCTCGACGAACTCAAGATACCTATAACGAGTAATGGGGTAGAAATATCTGCCAAAGTGATGATCGGTTCACCGAAGGAAGTTACGGATCTAACAACTGATCAGCTTTCTGCCCAGGATGAACTAGTTGAATTGAAAAATGACTAATTTTACACGCCTTTTTATTTCTCTGCAGATTGGATAGTGAAGAATACATCAATTTGATGTAAGTGATGGCGAATGATTGTAAACCCGTTTGTTTTGAACAATATTCTGAACATTTGTTTCTCTGTCAAAGATGAATTTTAGAGTAAAATGAAATAGCGGCATGAAGTGTGACTATTTTTTTTCTCAAGAAGAAATTACATTTTTTCAGTTATTGAAGAGCAAGAAAATTTTTTATAAGAAAATATTTTTTTTATTATAATTTGCATCAATAATTGTTTTCATAAACGGACGCATTTCTTCATAACAATTTTTGAACGATAGCAGTTAAAGATTATAAAAATCATTTTCATATAGTTTCTGATCACAAAAAAACTGATCGATAGTGATATTCAAAAACTGTATGTTCAATGATCAATGAAGCTCTTTAGTTTTCAACATGAGTAATTTGTTAGAAACAAATTGGAAAAAGGCTCCAGAGAAAAAATCTTTGATTTGTTATTTAACAATTATATTACTTTCAATGTTCCTGTTTGAGAAGATCAAAAGTTTTAATTACTTGAAGTTTAGTCAACTGGAAAATTATGATAGAAATTTTGTAACCATCCCCATTCTTGCATGGCTGAAGATACATGGAGGTTCAATGGTAAAACAAACCTGTAGTTTTCTACACTGCAATTTCGCCTCTTAGATGTTATATTCTATTTCACCCGATAAAGACCATTATTATTATTATCATATTTCTGGATACCAAACCAAAAACGTAGTTGAATGAGAAATTTTTGGCATGATTAGTGACTCGCATAGTCTCATTTTCGAATTTGTGTTGAGCAAATCACGATTTGGAAACAGCTTCTGAGAACGTTATGGATAGTTTGGTTCAGATAGCTGGCATGTTTAGTGGACCGAAGTTCTAGATCAAAACACAATCCTAAGTTTTTTATATCGGTCACGGAGGAAAGTATTTCATGTTCGATGCGGACTTGCAAAATGGACATGTGAGCTCTGTTCTTCCTGGGTCGAAACATCATTATTGCAGACTTATTAGGATTTAGCTTGAGCTTATGGGCTGTAGAAATGACTAGAGATTCTCATTGATATATGACTGGGCAGAGGTAGAATCACGAGGCGGAAAAAAGAAATATATCTGCGTGTCGTCGGCATTATGATGTATACTACATTTTTTAACCGACTGACAAAAATCGCAGATATATAAGCTAAAAAGAAAGGGCCCAAGGATAGATCCCTGTGGCACTCCCTTTGATACTGGTAGACCATCCGGTACAATTCCCTCCACAACAACTTTTTGAGTACGATTTTTTAGACAGTTTCCCAAAAGTGAAACTGCTTTCAGAGAAAACCCAATGTAGACAAGTTTGTTACACAAAATCTAGTGATCAAAACAAATCACCCACGCCGAACCGCTTGGCTACCGACCGATGAAATGATTCATCAAAAAAGAATCAATGAGATTGATCATTTTGAGGCATATCCCGTCTGAGTCCAAAGCACTGCTTTCTATGCGTCTTAGGGAGATTTGAACCATCTCAATGGCGACTGCGGTAAAGTGAATAGAGTATTCAGATTCTTTCAAATTAACATAACAATCTAATAAGGACAGTTGGTATGCAGATCTGATAGGTTGAGGTTTGGAATTGCTCATCAGGGATATCTGTATTTTTATTATTCCTTGGGATATCAAGAGTCCTTAAAGTATTCCAAGTTGACTTGGAATTTTCATTTCGTAAGAGGAAATCAAGATATGTTGTTTTTTCACGTCGTATCGCTATCGTTAATGATTTCTTGTATTTACTAAGAGCTCGATTCATGAGTGAAATCATTACCTTTATATTGTAAGTTAACCAAGGTGCTGGAGGTTTAGTGACTCTCTTCGTTTGAGAAGGGGTTTGTTTTTCAAAAAGACAGAGTATGTTGTCGTTCAGGAAAAAGACCAGGCAGTCCACATTATCGACTTGATAGATGAGATCCCACTGAAAATTCAGAACGTCTGAACGGAAAAGATCAAAATCGAAGCTACGATAGTCAGAAGACACCATTTCAACTCTTCTAGGAGGAATAGAAGTATTGATTTTGCATAACACTGCCAGGTGGATTGAAATTTCCTGAATATCAGTCACATCTGCATATGATATTTTTTCTTATCGGAAACGAGGATAATGTCAATGAGGGATTGAGAGTGAGCCGTTACTCGGGTAGGCTTCTCGACGAGCTAAAAGAGGTCGAACCAAAACGTAAGATATTGAGAACAGCGGTCGTGAGATAGTAGGTTAATATTAATAACCCCGTGAATAATGATCTCACATTCAAATGTGCAAAATATACACTTCTGACGGTGAATTAGTAGGGTTGATATTTGTTGACTAAGTATTTTGTATGAATTAAACTCGAATATGCATTCAAAATCAAATATAACAAATACAGTGGAAATGAAAGTAATTAAGAAATTTGTGATTCCGATTAAAAGTTGTAGTAGATCATTAGGGTGCTTTTAGCAGCACTTCTTGCGGAAAAGGGCGCAGCCCCGCTTCTGTTGCGATCGACTTGCAAGAATTTCGCATTATACTGGATATCAGCCAAAGTGTAGAAGACGTCGTTGATAATCAGGTGGTTATTCTTGATAGCTGCTTTGACTCCGGTACGTTCAGCAATACTGAGGTAGTTTCTTGAGGATTTATGAATAATCTGGTCCGAAGGACTTGAATCGTTGATCAAAAAGATGTTTTGTGATTTCCAATTTTTTCAATTATGAAATCATTTTAATTTTCAGTATTCGCGTTTTCTTCTTATTTTCGAAGGAGTATACATTATCAACATCAACTAGTGTAATAGATACATCACGTGGTGGTAAGAGGGGCGCTTTTACATATGAAAATTACCTTTTCATCACTGTTTCTCCGTAAAGCTATATCTTTAGAGGCTGAGATTTTGTATGTTGGTTCGTTTTATGTTGTAGGTGTGCAATAATTTCAAATATTCCTACTCGGGCCCCCTGGGGATGAAAGGGTCGCGTTTACATATGACAATCACCTTTTCATCATTGTTTCTCCGCACCACTATATTTTCGGAGGCTGACATTTTGTATGTATTTTTTTTTTGTAGACGTGCAATAAGAAAAGATTGTTGAATATTCCAACTGGGTCGCCAGCCGCGGAGAAAAAGGCGCAGTCATAAAATTAAGTTACCTTTTCATCACCGTTTCTCCATGACCATAAATTTCCGGTGAACGAATTTATACCACGAAATGAGAGAAAACTCTTTAAAAACCAAAAAAGTTAGAAATAACTACTTAGTGCTATCTACGGGTGAATTAAAGTTGCAAAAAACAAATAAGTGGTGATGATGTACATTCCTCAACAATTGCTAAGGATCACCAGCACCTATTTTTTAAAAGTTTACAAATTTTAAGAACAGACCAACCGGGCCAGGCACCACAACAAATTTTATTGATTTATGTGTAAAACTTTTAACATAATGTAGCATCGACATTCTGCGGATTTTATTTTTTCACCAAAAACTTACACATGAAATTAGTTCCATCCCAAGCAATTGTTGACCAACAATTGTACAACAATGGTACAAAAAATGCAACAAAGGTTGTTGCATTTTTTGTACCAGAATGAATGCCCTGATAAGAACTATTGCCTTGACTCAGTTTTGAAATTGTGGCATTGTTGGGAGAAATTGAAATTGTATTTATGTTTAGTTTATTAATTGGGTACCTTCAAAGTGTTCTTTTTCAATTTGCTGAACAAAAATGGTGTTGTCAGAGAGGCAGCGTAGTCTTAACATTGTTGGGATGGTAGGCATTGAATTATATCAGCAGAAGGGGGCCGATATTTTGGTTGACTAAGTATTTCATATAAATTAAATTTGTATATGCATTCAAAATAAAAGGTAACAAATACAGTGGAAACGAAAGTAAATAAGTTGAGTGTGATGATTCCGATCAGAATTTGTAGTAGGTCATAGGGTCCTTTTATCAGCACTTCTAGCAGAAAAGGGCGCCGCCTCGCTTCTGATGTGACTTTTTTGCAGGAGTTCTGCATTAGACTGGATATCAGCCAAAGTGTGGAAGACGTCGTTGATAATCAGGTGGTTATTCTTGACAGTTACTTTGACTCCGATACGTTAAGCAGTATTGAGGTAGTTTCTTAAGGATTTATGAATAATCTGGTCCGCAGGACTCAAATCGTTAACCACAAAGATGTTCTTATTTCTCAGTTTCTGCAGATATTTTGTGATTTCCAATTGTTTCAAGTAAGACATTCATTCAATTTTCAGTATTCGTTTCTTGTTCGTATTTTTGACGGAGAATATATTATTTACATCAGCTAGTTTAATAGATACTCCAAGAAGGTGGCTTAGAATAGAAAGAAATTCACTATTGTCTTCTTTTTCGATATCGAAAACTAACAAATTATTTTGCCGAAGTTTGTGGCCTGAGACTGTAGACTTTCTTCAAATTGATATTATCTTCTTCGAGGAATGATATTTCATCGTTTACATCAACTATTATTCTACCTCCAGTGCTAATATAGAGCACGAGCTTATCAGAGGTGATCGTTTTTGCCATTTTTGTGAAACAAAAAATTGCTTTTGTGGAAATCGGGGTTAGATAACGATATCAAAGAGATTCTCTAAGCCAACTCGGTCCAATCATTCCTGTTGGGCGCCGATCCGTACCCGTTACAGGTTGCTCATTTCAAATATATCTGATCGCGTCAGTCCTCAATACTCTTACTGACGGTACATCTTGTGCATCTCATTTGGCTGTACGATCATTGTACCAGCTAGCACAAGACGAAGGTCATCTATACCCTTTGGCGGCTGTCTTTCTGACTAGGGACTTCTATGTTGATGACGTCCTCACTGGTGCCAACACCCATGAGGAGGCGTCCTGCTTGCGAGATCAGCTCGTCGAGCTTTTGGGGAAGGGAGGTTTTAACTTGCGCAAATGGGCCTCAAACGAACCCTCTCTTATTGTCAATTGTGCCGAGCATCCCACTTCTACACATATGTCTCTAGACCTCGGAGCTTCCATCAAAACTCTCGGTATACGGTGGAATGCTCGGAAAGAAAGGTTATTTTACAGCGTAAACATAGTTGCGCAAGGATCACACACCAAGCCAAGTATCCTTTCCCAAATTGCTAAATTATTTGATCCACCGGGTTTGCTAGGCTCAGTGATAGTATATGCCAAAATAATTATCCAACTTTGCTGGATGTCTGGGGTTACTTGGGATGAATCAGTCCCTCAAAACATACATGATATGTGGATCGCATATCAGAAACAACTTCCACTCCTAGAAAAATTATTCTACGAGTAATTATACTGAAAGGGCCTACGAGGCTTGTATTTATTTGCGCACCACAAACAGCGAAAGTATTGTGCGAATTACTCTCGTATGTTCTAAATCTCGCGTAGCGCCCGTCAGCACGGTAAGTCTACCTCGCTTAGAGCTGTGCGCTGCAGCTTTGTTGGCAAATCTTTATTGTACTGTGCAAGAGTCACTTTTGATGCCTATTAACGAGGTTCACCTCTGGTCAGATTCCACAATCACCCTACATTGGCTGCAAACAGCCCCTCATCGACTCAAAACTTTCGTAGCCAACCGCATGGCAGACGTTCAGCGGAAAACTTCATGCTGTCGTTGGCGCCACCTTTTTTCTCAAGACAATCCCGCCGATTACATATCTCGTGGCCAGCTGCCTAACAAATTCATTCGAAATGGTTTATGGTCACAAGGCCCTTCTTGGCTGCCTCTAGAGGCAAGCATTCTGGAACGATATAGCTCATTCGGTAAATTACAGCGCGTAGTGGCATATATTCTACGATTTATTTTCAACACGCATAATAAAAACCAGCCTCGTCGCGAAAACTTATCATTGAAGGATATCTCGGAGGCTCATACGCTAATTATTAAGCTTATCCAGTGCTCAACATTCTCAAAAGAAATTAATTGCCTCAAGAGAAACGAAAGTATCTCCACGAATAGCCGGCTAACCCCACTCAACCCCTATCTCGATGATGTCAGCTTACTAAGGGTTGGTGGGCGACTCCAACTCTCGGAGCTACCAGCAAAAACTCGGCACCCTATATTGCTGCCCAGCCCTCATCACGTAACAGATATACTTATACGCGAAGAACATCAACGTCTCGAGCACGCAGGTACCCAAGCTACCCTCTATTCTCTCCGTCAAACCTATTGGNATCGTACGTCAAAACAATATCACTATCAGACAACACATCGGTAATCGCCAGAGTAACTCAGCGGTAACGCGTGTATATAATGCATATATTTTTCCTATAACCCGAGGTCAAACCCCACTGCTGGAAGTTTTTCTACGTGAATGATATAATTATATATTAGTAATATTTTTTGGAAGGTAGTGGTAAAAATGAAATTATATAACAATTTAAATTTATTTCTAGGTTGCAATGATTATTGCTATTTCTAGAGCATGCCAAAAAAATAACTGAAAGATATGCAAATAGATCATATTAAATATATGAACCAAGAACTATACATCAAAGTACCGAACACAATAAAAAAAACCAAAAGGTCATTTATTCTTTTTGGCTATTTCTATAATATTTGTAAAAAGTACATGGACTTGAGACCAAAAAATGTTGACAACTACCATTTTTTTTTAATATCAAAATGGGAAATTGCAACCATCCTAGTTGATGGATGGATAGATGGGATGGATCGAATGTATTCATAAATAGTATTGAAAACATTTGTATTCCCACTGTTTCAAATTCTCAACTAAACGGAATAAGACCATCTTCCTTCCATATCGACGGAGGAATATCATTAAATAATTATGATAATGTATCGATAAATGTACATGATTATAACAAAAATAGACCCTAATAAGGTAACTTGTAGTATTGTCAACGATTTTTAAATCATTTATTTGTGTTCTGACTGAATGAGTTTATTATCTAAACAAATATATTGTACCATTTCTTTCTACGGTCAGTCGTAGAAAAATTGTAGTACGCACCAATAATCCTACTTTCAACAAAATTGGGTGATTTTGATGAATTAGAAATCTTTAGGGCATAATGAATTTGAACAAAAAATTTCTTTTTCTCTACAGTGTAGATCAGGGATCGGCAAGTAGTTTTAGGTGGGGTCCGGATACTGTGGGAAAATTTTAACGGGGTCCAGAAAAAAAACAAATATTAATAATGAAGTGCTACATATTATTCTGGTTTCAAATCATATTCTAAATTATAAAAGAAATACAAGACCTCTTATTAATGTGAGAAACTGCACCGACGGTCTTGAGCCAGTTTTTTATAGTTTGGTTCTCGAGAGGGATAGCAAATTGAAAGTGTGTCTTCTATGTGAGCATCTGTTAATCTTTAACGATATTTGTTTCTGAGAAAGATGTTTCACATATGTATGTCGAGCCAAAAATAGTGGTCAAATTGATAGCTAGTCTTTTATAATTTTCATAATTTTCTGGGACATGTTTGGCCCAAAATTCTTTAGTGGATACCGTTCTATATATTTCCAAATACACATCTTGCAAATCAATTATCTCCAATTGAAGTGATGACTTTGACAGTTTATCAAATTGGCAGCCACATCTATTCACTTTGCCACTGCATCAATTTCAAATTGACATTTAAGAAACGGAGATAGCTTGCCTATCTCTGCAAAGTCTTGGAATCTGTAGCAAATTCGTTCTTAAGATCGGCCACATCACATATTAATTTTCCATTTCCTTGTTACTTTGTATTGAGCACATTCAAATATCTTGAAATATCTTTCAGAAAAGCCACAACCAGCATATTGCGCTCATCTCTATTGTGTTCATCATCAACAATGTCACATGATTCATCAAGTGCTTTGGCGTAGCAAGGTGCCTTTTGCAGAAGTTCAAGTAGAGTGTTTTTAATGTCCGCAGCTAAAATGTCAGTTCTTCGTGTATTACATCTCGTTGACAATGGAATACTTTGAATTGCAGAGACATCCTTTTTTTTCTTCAAAAAGTGACGTAATTACTGCCAACATACATTCCTTCAGGTTTTTGTGGAATTGCTGATGAGTTTTTTCGTAGTGTCGCTTCAAATTTCCACTTTAACAATAGCGACAGTTTTATTGCATACTGCATATTGCATATTGCACACTGGAACCGCTGCCCATCAGGTAACTTAAAACAATATTGCTCAATCCATTATGCCAAAAACCTATTTTTACTTTCAACTTTTCGTTTTTTAGGATCCATATCAACTTAGGTACAGAAAGAATTTTCATCAAACGAACGAAAACGATAGAAATCTAAAACAAATGTGTGGTTCCTCCGTTGTTTGTGCGGCGACTAATGACTGGCAGTCTGCTTTCAGTTCTTTCCCACTCCCTAACTATCGATTTCGATAAGCGCTCGTGCTTGTTTCAACAAAACAAAACAGGAGCAAGCACATTGAAGTAAGGTAAGTACGCAGTGCGCTGTGGAATGCTCCCGCACATATTTCCGAAAAAATGGTACGAAGTTCAATCTATGGATGTTACAGAGATTTGAAAATATTTAAATCGCATCATTCTGATTCGCTCACACACAGGCTAGATAGGAAACTTATCAGTAGTAGTTAGATTTTTTTGTGTTATTTTGATTGATAAAGGAATGGTATACCTCATCTACGAATTTTTATATGTACTTGGTATATATTACAATATTTGGGGTGCTCCGCGACTCAACCTTTCGCGGTTCGTCCGCCGTCCACCTGTTTTTGACCGCGAGTGTTGCTTGGCAAAGCCAAGCCAAGATGAAGCTGCTTATAGCACCCTCTTTTGCAAGGGAGTCAGTAGCCTCATTGCCTTCCATGCCAGTATGGCCAGGAATCCAGGCCAGAGACAACATTGTACAAAATTCTGAAAGTTATGTTAGGGACACCAATAACGTTCTCAAGGTACGTCATAAGGGGGAAGCGGAATTTTTGATTTGAGACAATTATATTGCAGAAATATCTATAATAATAACGTATTCAAACGACAAATTGAAAAAAAATGTATTGGAATGAACATACATGAATGACATATTATCATGATGAATCAATGTTGAACATTTTCTCTGACTCATATGAATATGGTCATAGTTAACTGTTGATAATATTCCTGATTTTCACAATAGTCACTGGCATTCGTATCCAAGAATGAATATTATAGTGTTTCGCCGTTTATTTATTTCTCTGGATAAGACAGCTATATATACTCGTCAGTTTCTGCTTGACTATTTTAGTCTGAATCTACTGGCCCGCAACAAATCACAGCCTCTAGTCTCATGATCGTGGAAATCACAATTTGTGTTTAATGATAATTCATATTTATGATTATCTATCAAATGTTGATACAGATAAATAGAATTACTGTCATTATTTTCATCGAAAGGAAATGAGGTCTACGGAGTCTAAGAAACCAGCAAGAAAAAAGCCATACGGCCTTTTTTTGCAACATAAATATCCTATTTGCGTTACTACTCTTTTCCCAGAGAATTGTTCCATATGAGATGTGAGAATGGATAAAAACGTAGTAAGCTGATAATAGCGCCTGTTGAGAGATTATATCTTTCAAATTCCGAAGGAGAAATGTATATTTCAACAATTTAATGCTAAGTTGTGCTCTAACCAGTTCAAATTATCATCTAGATGTATGCCTAAGAGTTTAACACTGTGTCCTTCAACCCAAGAGGTGTTTGATGTGAAAATGATGTTTTGAGTTTCATTTTCGTTTAACAGTAGATTATTTTTTTTTGAACCATATGTCAGCATTCTTTTGTATTTGATTATATCGCACACCAAATTATCCTTGATTTTTCCGGATGTCGTAAGAGTTGTATCATCGGCGAAAGCAAAACAATTATGAGGTGACATGAAGGAAAAGAGATCATTTATATAGATTTTGAATAAAAGAGGCCCCAGAACCGAGCCTTGGGGAACTGGTGGAACTACTTCAATCGATTCGTTGTATCAAATAAATATAATATGATAGTGATAGTTTTATATGACTGATATGTATGAGGTATATAACAACATCCCACACACGTCATATCTCAATAGCCACTGTTTATTTTTCTGTATCGTTATCATGTATCATGCACTGTAACATATATTGTACGATAGATGAACATTAATATTATAAGTTCTGTTTTTTTGTGAATTAGTGGTCACATTTTCTCCCAATATACTGAATACATTTTTTTTTCAAGTTGGCAGTAAAATTTTACAAATAAGATATGACAAGTAGCAAGCAATAAGAAACATCTATCTACAACCTCAAATATGCTACCCATATTATAAATCTCAAAGTTCCCTGCGCATGCGACGAATCCTTGAAATAAATGACAATCTCAGTTATTCCATACGATGACGTGATTTTCCAACAAGTTTCACATGCAAAATTGATTCTGAAATATTCAATTGTTAAATATGTTCGAAATATGTTGAAAATATGTTTTTCCGCTAACCAGCTGTCGCTGGTCAAACGAAAATCGATCGTTCAGTCAGCGGTTGAACCACCGACTCACACATCGGTCGATTGAGAGAGTGAACAAAGCACCCATGTTGAACAAAACCATACTGAATTTCAATATTATCAATTCCTTCACATACCATTCAAGATGACGAATTTCTCAATAAATAATTACGCTGCCAAACGATATACCGAGCGCTCAAACTCCCCTTACTCCAGGTTTATTGATATTGATGTACATTTTGTTTCTATTTCAGCTCAGATACATTTTTCAGGTGTGTCATCATTTTCTCATTTTGAATCCCACTCACACATTGTTGTGAATGTGATCGTTTTTTTGCTTGTTCCATAAAAAACACCAATCAATGTGTCAAACAACTTTTTTAGGACTTGACGTGCGGAAGTGAATTCAAACAGTCTTTTTGAAATATTGATACTATTGGTTAGTATTTGACAATAGCCTTTCGGATTATGCTATAAATGGAAGGCAGCAGTTGTTAAATCAAAATGGAAGTCAAAATGAACGAAATAACTCAATTTATATGTTACTGTGGAAAGCTTTCATTATAAATAATTGATAATAATTTTTTCAAAGTGAAGTTTATATTTTTATTTTCAGAATGGGACCTTCACTCTTCACAATTCTTATTATATGTTGGGCTCCAAGTATATACGCTCAACACTGCAGTAATCCAAATGTATCCAGACAACGCTTGCTCATTTACCGCATCATTGAAGAAGTAGAAGTTCAAATTGTACGTTGCAAGTATTTTGACAGAAGTCATCCCGCTCTCACGTATTTTGACATCACAAACAATTGCTTGAAAACTCCCATTACTTCGATTTTCGTTGACAAATGGGAGGAGGCGAACTATGTGAACTCACCCAATTCTCTCGTTAACATGGAACAATATAAAGCGAAAGCGGATCTCATTAGAAACGAAATAAAACTACGATCAGGTACAATTTGTAGATACGACAGAGGTTTTTGTTATGATACCAAGGAGGGAAATAATTATGCCGTTGTGTGGGAATTGAATAAAGAGCCACACAGATCGATACATTCTTGCCCGACGAGTTTAGAACAGGTACTCTACGGATCTGTTGATATCTGGGACTTTCCAGTGAAACAATTAAAGTACCTTTTCTACACTGACTACCGCACTGGTGAGGCTTTCTACTTGAGGCTAATAAAAAAAATTGATTGCCACAAAGGGGAAACCTGGGTGACAGAAGGAAATGAATTTTTGGTGTCTCGATTGAAATTAACTCCACGTATTGCAGATACGAAAGTTTTGAATCAATATTATTTACCTGTGCAAACGTCCAAGAAGGTCAGCGAGGCTATTATGAAAAATTGCGAAGTCCATGATTATCCACTAGATTTCAGTCACAGATCAAGTAATGAGTATTTTGAAAATCCTGCTATGATAAGACTTATATTTCAGAAACTCAAAGAAAAATTTGAACTGGAAATCAACAAAATGTCTGCAAAACCTACCAAAGGAGGTTCTCTTGATTCCAATGTATTTTTGAAAGAAATCAACAAGCTCAAATATTACAATAGTGAAAAAAATACCCAACTTCTGGACATCATGGAAAGAATTAGATCAACAGAAAGTAATCTAGAGCTTACTCGCAATGATTTGATGAACATCAAAAAACTCATTGGTTCCTTCAACGAAAAATACGAAAAAGACGTTTCATCTTTCAAAGTGAATTTATCAGAAATGAGTGAGAGATATCTATCTGAGAGTAGACGTTTTTCGACGATAATATCAGAGAAAGAACGTGATTTGCTGAAAAATTTCCAAGATCTCACTCTTTTTGTCAAAAGTCAGTCAAATAGTTTGGTGGCCAGATCAGAATTTGAGAGAAAATTGTCAGATTTGAGAGACAAACTGAATACTGAAATCAACGATTTGAAATCGAAACTTCTTCAGTCTTTGAATGAAAACGAACAATTGAAGATATCTCTGGAAACTATACATAATGACAGTAAAGAATGGTTAGATGACTTCAAATTCATAAAAAATGATTATGATTCGAAATTGAATAGCATCAGTCAACGAATGAATGACAGCTTAAGCAACTTTAGAAATGATTTTGATTTAGTTCTGGAAAAGATAACGGAAAATGAGCGTGCATCAGCAAATGATCAGAAGATAGAAGAACTAAAAAAGGAAATAGAGGATTTCAAAATCAGTTCGAAGAGTTTTGTGGAGATGAAATCAAACAATATACTTTCCACAATACAAACATTATTAACCAAATCTGTCTCGAAAGAAGAGTTTGCTCATGTGATAGATCGAATCGATATCATCAACAGAAATATAGCCAATGTGCAATGGAACTTCCTGAATAATCTTGAAGATGATCCAATTTCCGCTAATCATCTCAATAACAAGTTATCTGAACTATCAGGAAAAGTTGATGAAAAAATTGACAGACTTCGGACTGATTTCACCACTCATTCAATACAACATAAGCAGCACTGCAATTGCAAAAATGAACTGTGCAAAATCATAAAAAAATACGAAAATCAATTTGAAGATGCGAAACGTCAAATTTTAAACGAAGCAAAAATGTATGTGGAAACCAGAGAAACGCTGACTGAAACTGAATTGAATGAAGAATTGGTAAAATTTACCGAAAAGATGGAAACAAATAGAGAGCAAATAATTAAAACTCTACTTGATAAGTTGAACGAGAAGGATGATAAAATTGAAGATCTAAAAAATACTTTGACCAAAGAGATATCGAAACTACGAACTAAAATAACCGAATTCGACCAAGAAAACACGTGTAATCCTGTTCCGAACTGAATTTTAGTCAACTTTGATTGACTATTATAAAATAGGTCTTAAAAATCGGAAAACACGAAACAATTTTCCATTATATGCACACTTGTCCTTTCTTTGTCGTCTGGAGTGAGTATTTCATAACAATGGATCGTCCGAGTTGACACCAATTATCTATGGTATTTCTCAGGAATCTGTCTTGCACTCAATATCATTCGTGATAAATATTAATAGTCTTTATAGGTACACTGAACAGAAAATTGTTGCTTCAACACTACACGTTCCAATAGGGGTGAATTAGAAATTAAAAATGTCTTGAATATCGTCTTGATTATTTTTCGCTATTTTCACCGCCCAGAACTCAAAAAAAAATGAATAAATATATAATAGAGAAAAAAACTCATCATATTCTGGGTCACGAAATTCTTTTTTGGGACATCTGTTCAAGGGCACCGAAAATTATGATCCAGGGCTCATTCGATTCGAAATGACCTCTAGCAACTTTTTGAAAAATTCCAAGAGGGGCTCGAAAAAATTGCAATTTAGTAAACAAAAAGGGGAATTGTCAAACGCAAAAAAAGAAAAAATGTAAGAATTTGTAAAAAATAGAGAAAGTTTTTTAACACAAAAAGTGACACATGGTTGTTTTTTTGTTGTTTTGGTAGTATTAAAAAAATATATTGTGAAAATTGATGTGTTCAAAACAAATTGTTTATTAAGTAAATGAAGAAAATATAAATTGAAAAAAAGTTTTTTTTCAGGGTATCAAAGAGAAATGAAAATTATGATTGAAGAAATCATTCCTGAATATTCTTATTTAGTAGCAAACAAATTGTTAATCAACAAATGCGTTTTTGAGCAATACATTTTTTTTTTCAATAAACCATTTTGTTTTTGAAAATCATAATATTCATCACTGATTGAAATTTTCCCAGAAAAATTTCAAATGTCTTATGAACAATACATTTGTTTATAACAATTTTTTAAACGAATAGAAGTAAAAATTGTGAAGAATCATTTTTATGTAACTTTGAATAATTCGAATATAAATAAATTTGTATATTGAAAAAATAATGTTTCATTGCTATAGATAATTTCACGTTTGATTTCACCAAGAGCGGTTTATATCAGAAATACGCGACTCACTGTGGCTGCTCATCGTTTTGACGTTCAACTCAGTTCAGTTTTTCCAAATGGATTTAATCTCCAGCGATTCAACCACTACTTTCGCACAGGCACCGCTCGTAGAGCGCTTTAGAGATTTTCCTGTAGTGCTTGTGTTTTGTCCTTGAAAAAAAGGAAGTAACTTTTATGTACGATGTACACGTTCTTGAGGAGTTCATTTTGAAACAAATCTTTTTTTTTCTCTCTTCGAAAATTTCCCACACTTTTGTTGTCATATAAAAATTCAGAAGAGGAAACCATTAAGTTATTTTACTAATAGGTAGACACCAACCTTTAATAACTGAGCATATAACCAAGCAAACTTTTCAGAGGGTCATGTTAAGTTTCATAACTGTTAAGTATATTGCATTTCTGAATCAATAGTTTCGCAGCGTGAGCCAAATTTATGGTATTTTGAATTTTGTTATTGTATTTTTTTGATAAGATCTTTAGTTTCTTTGAGAATAATATACAGTCCATGGTATTTTTGATTTTTTAATAATAATAGTTACTACCTTGAACATCTCGTTGGGATATGCAAGAAACAATTCCCATCACACCCTTCGCACATTTCAAATAAAAAGAGTTCATATCTACTCAATGTATTGTATTTTGATATGAGTAAGTTTGAACATATCAGGTACAAATATGATTCTATTTTATTTTTTGATAATAAAATTGAAATATAGAAATTCGAATTCATTGTCTCTGGTATAATTTTTTAGAATTCCTTCTACATAAAAAGACGAAACCTTTTTTGAACACTTCTGGAGCAGTTAAAAGTAAAGGAAGGTAATGAACAACACAAAGCAATTTCACTAGTTCGGACTTCCATTGTCTACTATATAAAATGATTTGAAATCCCTGATAACAGACACAAAGCAAATTCGTGTCCGTCACGACTATAACTTTTGAACACCAAAACTATCCCAGTCTCTGCTGTAGGCATTCACATATGCTGGTTCAATTTTAATGGGAGCCCCAGTACACTTTTCTTTCATCATTGTTTTGTTCTGGAGCATATCGACGTAGTTGTCTACAGATTTCACAATATCTTTATCCTCATCCAGGTTCTCTTCTAGTATTGTCGTAGGCATGTGATGGTAACTGGGATTCGACACGCTGTTGGGACTCTGCAGAGGTGTTTCACAATCTGATTCGATTGAGGCATGCAACATTGGAACCAATTCATGTCCAGAAGTTTCGTTAGAGTTCGAATGTTTTCTGTTATGCATATTGAAATCGAACACATTACCTGGAAAAAAACCTCAATTTATTATTATTATTCCATTCACCAGTTTCAGTTGTATAACAGTTGTATCTCAGGAATCTGAGATACATAAAAAAGTGAGTCAGATAAAGAGTAGACACGAATCTGAGAACTTAACGAAAAATAATATAAAATTCGACACAAAATTGTTGGAACAGACTATTTATGAACGTTATGAGTACCCATATCTGCTCGATATGAAATTGAAACGAGCGTAAAGTAATTTATAACAAAAACTCTGAAAAGAATAAAACTTATAGCAACTTCAGAAGTAAAATGAACAGTCCTGAAAATCCAGAAAATCAAAGAAAATCAAGACTCCAGAATACCAGTAAATCGGCAGGTAGACAATACTAGTAACCGATGAGCTGTGTCAGTAACGATCTACTGGTAACCCAGAACACCTCTGAACAAACTGTGATACAATAACATTTCACACAAGATATTTTCTAGTGTCCAGTGGAAATTTCACAATCGAGTGTGATTCACATACATCACAATACATTTTCATCAAGTATTGACCAGTTCCATCACATACAAATTCGTAGTTTTTGGATCCGGAAAGCATCTCTTACTGCTAAATAAGGCTCATAAATGTAATAACTTCAGATAGTATCGAGGAAAAGTATCAGGAAATGGCATAGCTCTATTCTGAGAGATCTTCTGAGAACGTCTATGACATAAAGTATGAAGACATGGTGAGAAAATGCCAGTTTCTTGTCAAAAATACAGTCTGAATTATATATGGCGTTCCAACAAAACTTGCCCTTCCCTGTAAGTCAGAAACGGACGAGTAATCGAAAATTTCAAAGAACACATCAATTTTTATTTCTAGGGGGACTAATTCTGATATGGAGATTATATCCGAAACTTCACCCTTCTGCGGTCAGCAACTATCCCCAATTTTTTTCAATGGTATTGGAGGTCGAGTGATACGTCATTTGAAAGGTATTTTGTCACTCTATCACTTCTGTAATTTTTTTTTTCGAAATTGGTACATTAGTTGTTGAGAACTTGAATGTTGAACGTTTTATTTAAAAAAAACCCAGAAAATTCACTGTCACTCATTTTATTGACGAAATCAACAGAAGTAATATCAATCAATGGATATAGTGTTTAGAATGACCTCCATCTGGTTTCATACAATAATAACAGTCTACTTTCGAAAGCGTTCCTATTGAAGATGTTCGGAGTCAGAAATCGGAATTCCCGAACAATTCTTCGTCGCAGGTCTTCTAGATCTGAAGAATTTATTTAATTAGTAGCAAACGTTTTGAAATGGACGACATTGTTAGTTTCTTCTGCACTGGTAGTTTTTGATGAATCTAGTTGTCGCAGAACAAAAAGTAGATAGTTGACCACTGTCACTTCTTCACGAATTATTATTCACTCATCCTTGTTCACTGTCTTCAAAAAGGTTTATTCTACTGTAGAAAGAAAGAATTGTTGCAGCCTATCATCGAAATAATGAATGTGCTAATGCTGCTGCAAAAATTTATAGTACGAATCATTCAGACCACAACGTGAGCCATCAATACGTTGAACAGTTAATGGATAAGTTTCAAACTTCAGGTTCTGTTCACAACATAAAACTAGAAGTATTCCGTCCTGTCAGAAATGATGGAATTGAAGTTGCAGTTTTAGGACATGTACAAATGGATAATCGACAATCCATCAGACAATTAGCTAGAGCATCTGATGTATCAGCTACTAGTCTTTTTCGAATATTGAAAGCCTACAAATTCCATTCTATCAAAATGAGGCTAGTTCAGGAATTGATTGAAGATGATTTTTTACTCATGTCGGTTTCATTATTGAGAATGAGAGAGAGCTTTGAGAATGTCATTACGACTGTCAGATATGTTTGAATGTTTGACATAGATCACAAATGTCAAATTTGTTTCTGGTTATTTTATATTTATTCATTTATTAATTTCATACACTATTCTACAGGATGAACTTATTAATACAATAGGGAAAAACAGTGCCATTTTTACATAGTAATTCGTGAATCTATATGAAAAAATTAAAAACAGAACTAAGAAATGTCTTTTGATTTGTATATTCAGGCAGTTGAATATATCTAGGATACAAATAACAGTATTAGAGGTATCGCACATTGTATAAATTGGGGATTTTTTCATTATATTTGTTCGCTTAGTTTTGAGATGACACTATTCCTAGATGACCGTCTAGGAACCCGAAAATTCAATAATTGAGAGCAAATAATGATATTATTCATGACTTTGAATAAAAAAAAATAATTACGCCTTACCTCGAGACGACAAACAATTCATAATAAAGTATTCCTACAGTGGGATACGCGCCTTCAAGTTTAAAAGACATATATTTTAGGAAGGACATCTGTAGGGCTTCTAGTTGATTAATAAGCACCTGACAGTGGGGACTTCACACAACAGATGCATATTCCAGTTTCACAAAAGTGAAATAAAGTAATTTCAATGTCGAATTATTTTGTATTTCTAACTGAGAATCCATATTCGCGATAAGCAGCTGTAAGAGTAGTGTCAATATGTTTATTGAAAAAGAGGGATGAAGGAATGAATCAAAAGTAACACCTAGATAAGTGAGTGTGTCCATATTGAACAGTAAGGGTCCTAGGTTTGGCCCTTGTGATACAACAGATGTGGCTACATATTCAACAGACTTGAGGCTATTGAGTTGAACATACTGCTTAAGGTTATAAAAATACGATTTGGAAAAAGTAATTGAGTCATTGGATAACCCAAAACTCAAAAGTTTGTTGAGCAGGATACTATGGTAATGTCTGTTAGGCATGGTACCCAATTTACATAGGTACTCAATTTATTTGTGAGTAGTTTTGAGTTCTCTTTCATATTGTATTCATTTTTGGTGTCTCGAAGAAGTTTCGAAATATTAATATTATGAAATGAATTATTTTTCGAAATAAAAGGTGAAAGTAGAACCTCTGACAAAAAATGAATCCAGAAACAAGCACTTTTCCCAATCTCTAGAAATGCAATACTCTATTCGAGAACAGTATTGCATTTATGGTGATTAGAAAAAGTGTTTGTTTTTAGTTTTTTGAAGCTGCGTAATTGCAATATTCATGTGCTGAACTTGAAACTGAAGTTTTTCTGTTTAATCGTCATTATTTTATTCAGGTTGGAAAATACCCTGGGTTGAAACTCAAGGTGTTTGGTTGCCAAATAAAGGTCAATTATTTCTATGCCGCCCTGGTCTTGTGCACCCCTTCCTGACTGGGGTGTTTGATGAACAAACTGTTCACTTTTTACGAACGTAGTGAGGCTTTCACTCAACTAATCGACGGGACCTTCAGAATCGGGAGGGGTCGTCTATAGTATAATCAACAGCTTTCCCAACTAATGCGTTGTCATGGGTTGCCGCTGATTCGAAAACTGTCTGATTCCTTGACTGAACGGATTGCTGTATAGTCGACAGCTTCAAATCTCTGCGGATAGCTTCATTCTGCACGAACCATGGAACATTTCTAGCATCCGTAGGATATTATTTGTCAATATTTTTCAGGGTATAAAGATTTGTCGGAGCGGTTTGTCACCAGGCGCCTGAAGCATACATAATGACAGGCTTGAACATCGTGTTGTATAGTTAAAACTTGTTCTTAAGGTTGAGCTTTGACTTTCTGTTCATCAGAGGGTAGAGTCTGGCTACTTTCTTTTGAATCTTGCTCTTGATGTTTTCAATATGACGTACTCAGGTGAGTCAATAATCTATCAAAAGATTTAGGTACTTGACTCGTGGCTGCCATTCGATTTCTTTGTCTGAGATCGTTACTTTCGTGTCTGGAAAGACGTGACGTCTCCCCAAACATTTAGACAACCACCAACGCCCGACTTATGGAAGAATTGAGGAGAGCCGTCTCATCAGCGTATAGGGAAATCTTCACGTGAATGAACCTGGGAAGGTCGCTCACGTATAGGCTGTACAGTAATGCTCGTTCGTGAAGAGGGGAGGAAGCAGTCTTCTTCATTTCGAATCTGCTGGAGATCATTCCCAGGTTCGAGCGATTCCAAATACTTGCTCCACCTCTCGTTTCGAAAGTCAGAGATGGCCAGTTTGACCTTGTTTGCCATTCTGCTAGCCGCAGCCGTGTCTCCAGGATAGAGAGTATGCTGATAAACTCGTCCGAGTCGATTTCTCTCCCGGATAAGGTTCTTTATCCTGGGAGGAAACTCATTATAGTTTCGCAGCGGATACTCTTTCCTGATTATGGCTGCGCGAATGGCGTTGTTCACAGACAACTTAAAATCCGTCACCACCGCGTCGAGAGCATCGTGAGTTGAAGTTGTTCTGCTGAGTCATGTCTTGATTCAAATCAGGATAGAGCTTAGCTCCCCTACTCTGATTGATCGGCGTCGTTCATGCTTGGTGAAAGGCGTTTCTATTGGTTTGAGGGGTATAAAAGTAGTATGATGTGTCTCGCTTGACTTGAAGCACATTGTTTATTATTGATCAGGGCGATACGTTTGCTGTTGGTGTTGTATTAGCTTTGATTTTGAATATGGTGGTTTTCGATGCAGCTGACGGGTGATGTGCATAATTTTTTTTATCAAGACTACTCTTGAAACTTCTCAATTTCGATTGTTTCCCTTATGATCTAGGTGTTGTATACTTGCGATCGGTTTGCAGCTTTTGAAGTCGATGTTGCGACCTGTATCAAAGTGTTGTTTGTATAGGGATCAGGTTATTTGTTTGTGTCGAATTTAGAGTGCTGAACTTGAAACTGTTCCTCTAATGTGACTGATATTCGTCTATTCGTTTGGCCGACGTATTTTCTGCAATCTCCATATACAATAATATATATGTCTTGGTTTTTATGTTGACTTTTGGGTTTTGAAGCAATTTTTTATGCTTCTCGTGGGTTTATATGTTGTTTTCATTATTGTGACGTATTATAATTCTTCCTATTTGATCTGTAACTCCTCTGACGTAAGCAGGATGGCTTTGGTTTCTTTTGTATTTGTTATTTCATTGTTCTCCTTCTTTTCTCGGGTTGTTGTTTTATGAATTGTATGATTTTCATATCCATTCTACTGAAGAGCTCTGTATGTCTTTTATTTCTTGTTTCTTCGTGTCTTCGTCTGTTATGCATCCAGACCTGGATATCAGGGCTCCCATTTGTATTTATGCTGCGTTCAAGAATATGTTAGTATGTGTTAGTTTTCTGTGTAGTCTATGTGGTGAATTCCTTCATTAGGTTTTCTTCTAAATAGTGGGTACATTCAACAAAGATAACTCATCGATTCTTTCTATTTCTAGGTAAACTGGATTTCCTCGTGGATTGAGTTCAGGTATGTCACGAAATGGTCAAGTTCTTCAGGCTCATGAGGTCAAATGTTGAAAATATCGTCGACATAATTCAGAAATAATTTGGGTTTCTTCGGGGTGTTGTTCAGAGCCTTGGTTCCAAAATAACCCATGAATATTTCGGAGATGACAGGTGACAATGCGAAACCCATTGGAGCACCTGCAGTCTGTCTGTAAAGTCTGTTGTTGAAGTTGTGTTTTTCAAGTAGTGGTCTGGGAGTTCGATAACGTGACCTGATGAGTTCATAGCTATCTAATGTATAGATTCATCAATAAGTGTTTGGGGTACAATGCTATCATGTCCAGACTGGCACATATATCATCCTAATTAGGCAAAGTCAACCAATTTGATTATCAATGGAATAATTTGCAAATAGCATAGTGCAACAAAAGCACTGTTAACGGGAAAATTATCAAAAGTTTATTATTATTACTTCTACAAGAGGTTGTTTGAAAACAGATTATTTGGGTCACGTGTCTCGTCTCTGTCATCGTCCGCAACTCATAGCTCTGATGGAAGTGACTAGAGACCCGGTAGGTAGACGGTGCCGGTGGAAGCGACTAGGGTGTCACGTTACGCTTGTGGCAGATACCCGACGGAAAAACAACATCTAACCTAGCCTATGCGGCGCAGAAAGCTGAAGTTGAATCATCAGAAAATTGCGCAACATCTCCCGTTCGAGAGATTTGGAGTTATTACTCCAAAACTGGTTCTTTTTTGATGCAGTTGATATAAATATGGGTACATGAATAATTGGAATGTGTGAAAAAATCAGGACTGAATTCAGAAATTTGATGATAATGTAAGAAAACTTACCATCTGTAACTCTTGGGCTGAATATTGAAGTAGGCTTCATGCTCATATACCCTTCGTCAGCTGATTGTTGCGAAGCGATATCATCTACACATAGAGGACTAGACAAAGCTTCGAATGTTGGTGGACTCAACATGGCCAAATAATCACTTTGACCTTCTTCGACACGTTTGGTATTCATTGCCAAGTATGGATCGTTCAAATCTATATAATGCTGGAAAACAAAAATGATGAATTCAGTGAGTTGAAAAAAATCTCGAAATGTTTTTTTAACAATTTATAGACTAGACTAGAATATACCGTCTTTGTATTATGAAACGATCATGGTCTTGAAGTTAGACCTTATTCTTCCGCTAATTTCTTTTCAAGACATACAGTAGCTGCCCTGATCATTACGAGTTCCTACTAGTCTGGATTACTTCCAACTTGATAACTTTTCGAAAAAAAAAAAACCTAATCGAAGATCTTCTGGAAATTGCGAGACAAAGGAAGAAATGTTGAAATGTAGAAAAGCGCTCGATACCTGGGAGTTGTAAATGAGCGCTTGAATATTTCAAGAACACATTTCAGCAACCTAATTATCAGTTGCTGTAATGAAACGCCTGTCACCTATTCTACATACAAACTAATCGGCTTCGTTAAAAAGCTGGGTTTTTTTGGTCGAGTGTGAATAGATGTGAGCCACAATAAACCTTTGCGGGTTACGGTAGAGGGTCGAATAGACCCACTCACTTTGAACCTAACCTAACCTAACCACTATTTTGCAGCTGAAGGAAGACTCCTTCATTGAGACGCCGGATCACTGCTGTTGGTAAACCACATTGTCTTCGAAATAATGCTTCTGTCTTCTGGAAAACTCCAAAATTGTTCAAATCGGTAGCATCGATTTCCAGATATACTTCCAATCCTCTTTTGAAGCCGATCAAAGTTCACGAAATAGATATAGTTCATGCCGTTATTGATAGCAGGGACCTTACATCAGTATTTTGAAATTCGGGCGCCTGTTCTCAGTCGAGTATACATTTTTTGATATCTGTGAAAGGCAGTTTGCTTACGTTATCAACTACACATAACTCTTTTAATTTCTTTTCAAGACATACAGTAGCTACTTCAGTAGCTACAGTTCCTACTAGTCTGGATTACTACCAACTCGATAACTTTTCGAAAAAAATTCACCTAATCGAAGATCTTCTGGAAATTGCGAGACAAAGGAAGAAATGTTGAAATGTAGAAAAACTCTCGATACCTGGGAGTTGTAAATGAGCGCTTGAATATTTCAAGAACACATTTCGGCAACCTAATTATCAGTTGCTGTAATGAAACGCCTGTCACCTATTCTACATGCAAACTAATCGGCTTCGTTAAGAAGCTGGGTTTATTTGGTCCAGTGTGAATAGATGTGAGCCATAATAAACCTTTGCGGGCTACGGTAGAGGGTCGAATAGACCCTTTGAACCTTATCTAACCTAACCCCTATTTTGCAGCTGAAGGAAGACTCCTTCATTGAGACGCCGGATCACTGCTGTTGGTAAACGACATTGTCTTCGAAATAATGCTTCTGTCTTCTGGAAAACTCCAAAATTGTCCAAATCGGTACCTTCGATTTCCAGATATACTTCCAATCCTCTTTTGAAGCCGATCAAAGTTCACAAAATAAATATAGTTCATGCCAATATTGATAGCAGGGACTTTACATCAGTATTTTGAAATTCGGGCGCCTGTTCTCAGTCGAGTATACATTTTTTGATATCTATGAAAGGCAGTTTGCTTACGTTATCAACTACACATAACTCTTACATTGGTCAAAATGATACCTTTGCTGAAATTATGTGGGGTCTGGAATGTAAGACTATTGGGTAGAATATTCCCTTTGTACTTCCATAGCCTTTGCTCTTTTCTTTCGAAAAACTTTTTCTAGGATATTCACGTTAAGAAGAGAATGACATCATTTCTGGTAATTTTGTATATTCGACATAACAACCTTAAAATTCCCGATGAAATGCGTTCAATAGCGATGAAACTAGTAAAATTTCATTTTGTAGGTAAATTGCTCAACCGATAGTAATATTTCAGACGTAACTGAATCGAAAAAAACTCGAAACTTGTTAGTCTTCTTCTCTTCTTTTCTTTTCAGAACTATTTATTTATTTTGATAAGACATGCGTATATTCAATATGTCGAAACAGTCTCAACAAATAGTAGCGTCTCTAATAGAATACTTTGGAAGATAACGTGAGAATTGAGGACCTTTACTTCCACTAACTGCTGTTAAAGACGTAAGTTATATTAATTGTGTTAATTACCTATCCTACATCTACAAAAACTGAGCAAAAATCATACAGCGAATATATAAATATCGGGTTAGATTAGATATTTGTCGATTGTTGATTTCAGAGGGTTGCAGATCTCTTGAAGTCGAGTATTACTACTATAAACCGTATTGCGACTGATTCTAATAGAGAGGTGAAGTATTCAGCAATCCATCGAAACAGTGGTAGACGGGTGAAACCTGTGGTAGATATTGATGATTTCGATCAAACTGCTATTCGAAATGTGATCTATGATATGTACAAAATCGGTAAGTATTTTGTATTGATTTATTCGATATACAATATTTGACGACAACAATAATTTCAGGAAAACATATCAATTTGCAAACTTTGAAAGATGAACTGGAAGAACGTGATCTCTTCAAATGTTGTGAGACATATTTATAGAAAATTCTGAAGAAAATTAGTTTTACATACAAAAAAGATGATCTACGTTATGGTTTGATGGAGCTGCCTGGTATTGCAATGAAACATATACATTTTCACATGACTACATGAAACTTAAGATTGTATTCTTGGATGAAACTTGGGTATTCAAAGATGGTACCATTGGGCGACCCTGGCAAAATTCAAATGTGAAGAGTGATGGTGCAAGGTAAATACAACCATAATTGAAAACAAAATACACCAGCTGATTTTTTTATTTCAAGATATATTGTGATTCATGCTGGATGCAGAACCGGGTTTATTAATAGAGCAGACCTGATTATTTGTTCAAAAACGAAGAATTATGATTACCACGGAGAAATGAACCAACACAGTTTTCTACATTGGTTTGAATAACAACTTTTAATAAATTTAGAAGAGCCTTCAGTTATAGTCCTGGATAATGCAAGTTATTACAGCACTGTTA